AGCACACCCCTCACTCCATGAGGACTGCCTTTGGATGTCTACAGCAGGAGTGTTGGGCCAAGGGGGCGGTTTTACTTACCAGTTGCAAAATTCCAGAGAAGCAATGCTAAGTCAGCCGAAACTTTAAATGAAAATTAAAACAAATCCCCTTTGGGATGAGATGGAAATGTCAGCCCAAGGATGAATCTGTTCTCAGTAAGTTGCAAGCAACTAAAGGAGATACAATTTGGAATCCAGCCTTGGCTGCACCACACACCATCTGTCAACCTTGTAGAGTGAAATAAAGGAAAAGCAGAGAGCCTGCAATTATCCTCTCCCTCGTTGGATAGCCCAGAGGCCAGAGAAGTGGATTCTCTTCCCTGATACATTTCTTGTGACGGAAATGACACATTCATTTTCCCACAGTAGTGAAGCTGTGCATTGCACTCGCATCCTACTCGCTCTCCCCTTGGCAACCAGGAACACAAGACTGCCAGACTGGAACCTGAGTGAGAAGGCTCTCTTCCCAGGGTTAGAGATATAGATGTAGCAAATTGCAGGAGAAGAACATGAGAGAACAGGGGATGCTGAAGTCTCTCCACTAGGCACATTGCTGGAAAAATGCAGGAGCTTTCTTCTGCCCTTACAGGCACCTGAGCACTGCTAGTACCGAACACTTACAGTCAGGCAAAATCTCTTCTCTCTCTCCTTCTCCCCCATGCCCTTGCACATTTTCGTAACCTCACAAAAGTTTCAGACAACGTCATCTTTAACCTACTGCAGGCAGGACTTGTGAGCCACGTGAAGGGGGGGACCATAATTGGTCAGAACACCAGTCCCATGGCCAATGAATGGGGGACTTGGACTCCACTCCCCCACACACCACCCCAAACAGGGTGCTGGATTGTCTCTCCCTTGGCATTGCATTTTGAAAGATGTGTCTGGCAAGACAGCAAGCTGACTTTGGCAGGCACTGCCATTAGTGCGATAATTAATTAAAGAGCAGTTGAGAAAATCACAGTGCAAGATTACTCCACAATCAGATCCACAATTGACTACCAGAGCAGGGCATCCTCCTCTATTCTAAATCTCTAGTTTTTTTAAGGAATTAGTAGCTTACATATTGCACTTGAAATAAGAGAGCAGGATGAAGAGGAATGAATCCTTGTGCTAATCAGTGAGAGGACCTTGTCTGTGAGATAAGACAAACTGGGAACAGAACAGCAAGTGATATCACAGCAACAAAAAGGACAAATATGGCAAGACATAACAGCTAAGGGCTGTTTTACACAAGCCTCCTCTTGTTTCCTATCTGATACCAAAGACTGGGAGAACCTCTCTGCAAAACAGAAAAGTTAGCAGGAGGAACAGGTGTCCTGTCTATTGCAATCAGAGCTGCAGCTGCTGCATAGCTCCCCATATTTCTGTGTCTTCAGCTGGGCTCTTCCACGTTCTAACAGGCGCTAGTGAAGGCACACATGTTCCAAAGCAGACACCCAGCTTGTTCCTGCTGCCACCTTTCCCACTGCTGCCCATTTAGGGAGATTCGAGATAACCACCACACAAAGGCTTTGGTGCAACTGTAACTCTCACCTGCCCGCACACCTGCCGGTCACTGGGCTGTCCCTGCCCCTACTGAAAGGTACCTGCAGTCCAGCCAAATACTGGGCCACAAAAAGAGCCTGTTGATGAGCGTAGGTGGGACAGGCTCAATTGTCACCCTCAAGCCCCTGGTGTTTTGATATTGTGTTGCTCCTTTCTTGAAGCAAAGAGGCTCAGCCCAGGACAAGAGGACTTCTGCATGTAAAGTGATTGCTGTAGCCCAGTTAGTGGTAATTGAAACAGGCAGGGAAGAGTAATTTTTTTTTTATTCCCAAACTGTAGTTTCATTAAAAATGGCTGATTTTCAGAAAAATATATTTTTTTCATTTCACTGATATCTTTGAACAAACTAAAAGCAGGAGAAAAGGATCTCTTTTTTTTTGTTTGTTTCTTTGAACTTATTAGTACAGAAATCATCTGGAAGCTTTCACTGACTCTTTGGCTTTATTTTCACTATTTTTTCTTCTGTGTGGGGAAAGAAAAACTTCAAATCTTTAGAGAAAGGAAAAAAAAAACCAACTTCTTACTTGTCATTTCCTAGTCAGAAGAAGACCAGAATGTTTTCTGCTTGTTTCTCAGAAGATACTTTTGTTTGAAGACTTCTCACCATCAGTTATAAAATCTTTTATGTTAAAGCAGTACAAAAACATTCAAAGTGTCATGTTGTGTCACCCTCCCTTCCATTCTCACTCTGTGTCAAGCTTTCTTTGGAGCATTGTTGTGGAAATTAAATTTTCTGGTTGGTTCTCCCCTTGCTTGTCGTTGTGAGGCCAGTGAGTTTGCTCAGGGTTTAGCACAGCTGCACCACAATGCTGCCCATGTTGTGCTGGAGACACTTCTGGGCTTGTTTTCACTTTGACCTTCTACATGGTCTGTGGATGCAAGTACCAGTCTAGTTATGCAACTCCTCTCTCCATTGTCCAGGCTTTCCCCAGTCCTTATTAGAAGCAATGTATTTTAGCTCTCACTGTAGTACCTTCTACCCACTTTGGAGCCCATGAATACTATTAATCAGGCTCTGTTTTACAGATGGAGCTTTGCTTTCCCCTCTAGGATTATATATATGTCACAGAGGAAGAGGAACTCGTGTCCAGTTAATGATTACACTGAAGCACCTTGAGTTGATGCCATGAAGCTTCTTTTCCATCCAATCACATTTATCTGCTAGGGAAAAAAGTTTTTTAAATGTTGGAAAATGTGCTGTGTCCCATCTATTTCAGATTATTTTACATCTGAGTTTACAACAGACTTAGGCAATTTGTTCAAGATCCAAGAAGCCAGAATTATCTCCTTCCCCAATCTTCCATCAACTGAAAGGCTTTTTTTTAGCATTTTGTTTTTAATCTTCCTTATTTTCTTTTTCTCTCTCTTTTCTTTCTCTCTTTTTTTTTTTTTTTTTTTTTTTGTAATTTGGACACTTTGCATGTGAGGCATGGGCATGAAGAAAAAATTATGCAAGCAAGTGTAACAAATTAGATTTCATTCTGTGTAAATCTGCTGCCTGCCCTTGCTATTGATGGGTTTCACAAACTATATTGGGAGTTAACTGTAAGTCTGATTACCGTCTGTGGATTTACAGACAGCGCCAACAATCTATCCAGGGCTGCTGTGCCAAGCATTGCCACTGCTGCTTTCTATCTGATCCTATGAGCAGTTAAAACTACACTACTCCTTTTCCCAAAAAATTTATGTAATATGTAATATTGTAAGTTTTTTGGGGGCTTTTTGTGGTTTTTTTGTCGTTGTTTGTTTTTGATTTTTTTTTTGTGGGTTTGGTTTTTTGGGTTTTGTTTGTTTGTTTGTTTGTTTTTGGGGGGTTTTTGTGGGTTTTTTTCTTTCCCCTGCAGTAGCCATGGATGTAGTTGTGCAAACTGGGAGACTTCATATTCTGTTTTGCTCAGATAGGTAGGTAGCATCACCTTTGATTAGGGTGACCTGACAGTCTCCATAACAGCAGCCTGCCTTAAAGTGTCTGTTCTTTTAGTTTGCTTTATGCTGCCATCAGGGAATGAAATTTTCTAGGAAGGATGTCTGACCCAAGATAGAGTCAGGCTGATTTCTAAGGGGGAAATTACACTATACACTTTCAACCAAATTAGATCAAGAGAAATGCATTGTGTAGTCCACACTTGAGGAAAAGAAAGACATGAAAAAATTTTTGCTATTGTTTTGACAAGAGGGTCTCAAACACTGCATATCAGAGGATATGCTCAGTATTAGCAAGCTGCAGCACAAACCATATTTTTCCCAGCTTACATTTCCCTCTGGGGAGGAAGACTGGTCTCTCCTGCCTCTTCACCTCCAATCGCCTGCTTGGACTCCCAGCCTCTCTCCCTGTCTCACCCACTGTGTTATCCCCCTCCTCTTCCTGCCACTCAGTTGTCTCAATGGAAAAGTCTCAGCATGAACAGTTTGTACCCTAACTAAATTCTTCTGATGCCTTCTGGATATAAATAACAATTGCTGATGGAGGAAACTCTAGTTGTATCTTGGGGGAAAATGTATTCTCACTTACAGATCTTACTGGTCTTTTAGTGGAACCTAAAGTTGGAAAGGTGACCCAGTACTACTGCTACACTTAAACCATCTCTTATTGAATAATCTACTAATACAAACCAGATACGTTTTAGTCTCCTAAGGTGTCTGGTATGAGAAAGATCTGTTACCCTTAAAGTGAAACCCATTTACTTCACATTGCAAAACCCAGGGAGTCCTCATTCCACATGTCATAAGCCTCTTTATGAAGCTGGGCCTTTGGCAACAAACTGCACAATGAAATGAAAACTGGTATTGTTATTAAATTAATGTTCTTACATAACTGATCTTTCACCCAGTGGCTGCCAACGCAAATCTCAGTGCAAACCACATTTCTGAGAGGAGGGCAGACAGAGTTGAAGACCTCAAGGAATCAATTTTTTATTTCTCAGGCAGGAGCACAGATGCAATCTCAAGTGAATTAATTTTTCTCCGAACCTGTATTCTCTCAAGTGCTGGCAAAACAAGGTCTCGGCAAAGATTTTTCAAGGCAACAGCAGAAGTCCCCTTGCAAGCACTGTACAGAAAATGCTGCTGGTTACTGGTGCAAAAGCAGGAATGGGAAGGAAGACCCCACCAGAGGCATAGCAGAGCTAGGTCGGCACAGGCAGGAAGGACCAAGGGGGTGAAAAGCCGGGGCCGCATCCTGGCTGCGCGGACAGGGCTGTGGGATGGCTGTGGGAGCCGGGCCCAAGGAGGGCTCTATGCACGCCGTACCGAGCCCGGGTCGCGCCGAGCCCCAGCCCGAACCGAGCCCGAACCCGCCCCAAGCCCCGCCCCCGCCCAGTGGCGCTCGCCCAATGGGCGCGGGGGGCTCGTTTGCAAATTTGCATATTTACATATTTTGCATATTGCCCGCGACTTAAGGGCGGGTGGGAGCGGCGCTGGCGGTCCTGGGCGCTCCCTGGGCTGCCTTGTCCATCGCTGCGCTCCTGCGCCGCACTTCTATTTAGTTACCATAAGTTTTAAAAGCAAAAAAACTTATTTTTATTTTTTAAAGTTTAATTTTTGTTTTTGTTTTTTTCTTTTCGCGCCGAAACTTTCGTGCCGCGGCAGGAGGCGAGATGTGGAGGAAGGCGTTCCTGGCCGCCGTGTGCCTCTGCCTGCGTTGGGTGGCTGCTCTCGGCGGTGAGTCCCGGGACGGGCGGCCAGGACGGCGCCCGGAGCGACATGGGGCGCACGGGAGCTGCCTGTTACTCTTGGGAAAGGGGGGCTTGGGGGGAAGCGGTGCCAGCGTGGCGGGAAAGGGGAGTTTGCAATCTTTGCTTTGTGAAGCTATCCCGGGGTGCTTGGGATGCTGCGGGACTCGGATGTCGTGGAGTGGGCTCGGAAGGCGCTGGAGAACGACACTGGGGGGAACCTCCATCCTGTTAGGAGAGACCTGGAACCTGTTCCTCAGCCAAAACACAGGCACAACCTGCTGGACTGATGGCGCGACCTGTTGAGGTTTGGGATGTCTTTTTTTCTCAGAGACAAGGTGGCTTCCGAGAGTCCTTTGCCCCAACAAGGGATTTGCACAGCAGTAGCACTACGGTAAGGTCCCTCGGCTTCCTCCTCTGTGGGACTCACCTATCCCAGCATCCCAACTTCGTACAGGTCTTGATCCTAGACAAGGCAAAGCTGAGTTTCATCGTCATCATGGTACAGTGTTCGAGTTGTAGTTAAGCCTGTAATGAGCAGATCCACTAGGGGAAAAGTGAACAGAGTGATTTACTTTCTCTAGGTTCACTTATGGCTGTGTTTGCGCTCTTCCTGTTATACCTGCACTTGTACATAGACATCCTGTCCAAGCTAGAAGAGGTGGAAGATGTGCAAATGGTGCTAAATTTTCACTAATGCTTTCTCAATTAATCACAATGTAATTGAAGCTGTTAAGAACAGAGACTAGTTTTAGGAGACCATTACTCTGCAAGCTTAGAAACTAAAGAACACTCTTAAAATATTGTTAGCATTGCCCTGTCACGGGCTTACTTTCTTACAATGATCTCCCACACACAGTATCTGTATCTATCTTTGAAAGTATCTATCTTTAAAAGTTTCTGGCCTTAGAAGAAAGGGTGGCTGTAACTCCTAGAGCTGCTTTGTGATTCTAAACTGGAATATATAAGCTGCCGTTTTTTCTGCTGTGGATGCCTTTGTTACTTCTTTGTGTACAAGGAAGCTGAAGGGAAGTATTCAAAAGTAAGAGGATGGGGTGCTAGGGTACAGCAAAAGGAATGCGTTCTAGCTTTGAATCCAATCTTGTACTATCAGAGATAATCAAAAACAGTTTTCATCACAGTATCCAAGTTCTATACTGTGAAGTAACTGTCTTCCCAGAGAAAGCTTTCATCCCTGCAGGATCTGATTTGCCACAGGCTTAATAATAATTTCATTATTTCTTCTTAGGAACAGGTTATATGAAAGCAGGTTGTGTGTTCATCCTAAAGCAATTCAAGCCTTTAATTCCACACTTTTCCATGCACACCACAGTAGAAAGTTTTTTGAAACCACGGAAAACACAGGGTCCAGCCCTCCAGGAATCCAGAGTATTTAAAAAGCAACATAGAAAAAGACTTTCTAGGTGAAGAAACTGTTGGTATTCCACGAAAAGATAAAAGCATCGCTAGGAATACAAGGAAACTTCTTTTTACCAGTGTAAATCGAAAGTCGGCATATTTACACTGTTGTGTGATGTGAGCTGCTGGCTTTTTCTATGGCTTGTGTTTAGGATAGACATACCAGGGCAGCTGTGGCATGGCCTTTTGAGAAACAATACATTTCTGAGAAAGTGCAGAGGTGAGGCTCTCAGGCATCAAGTTGTGCTGATCACTAGCACTCCTAAAAGTTTGCTGGGACCTCATCTGTGCAGAAGTACTTACATGATAGGACTTTCTCATGCATCCTTGTCTCTATATTACTGCAAAATCTGACAGTGGTTGCATTTTAATTGTCTTGGGCTAATTCCAGATATCCCAGAGGGACTGATGGATGGCTAGATATCTGCTGGATTGAGTTTTGAGTGTCCCAGCTGCAGCAGAGTAAAAATTCAACAGGGAGTACCCTGGAGAGGGGTGGGCCACCCCTGTGTACAGTGCGAGAAGAGCAGTTTGCCAGCTGCAGAACTTGAGCTGGGAGATTCTTGCTTATCTTCTGAACTCGTGTTCCAGAGGTGTTGTTCTTTCCACTGGCTCCACCTGGGAAGTGAAGCAGAACGTACTTTCAGGCCTCTGCCATTAAGGAATACATAAATAAACTCAAAGTTGTAATATTTTTGCAGCAAGGTTAAACAATAACCTGATTCGTGAGATAGTTTTCCTGGGATTGCAACACACAGTAGTCTGCTTTCAGTTTATAGTGTAGATCAAATTAGATGATAACCATTTCTGTAGTGTAAGCCCTGTACTACAACTGACTGAGCTTGCTTCAGTACTCTTAGGAATTCAGTATGACTGATTGATGGCTGATCCTAATGCTGATTGTCAGCTGAGAGAAAATTTAGCCCAGTTAACTACAGCTGGTAAATGTTCAATGTTATGTGCAGATGTTTGCTGCTGTGCATGTGTGTGCATGCATGTCTCTGTGGGCTATAGCAGACACAGTCTAGCAGTATAATTTCTAAGGATCTTTTCACCTAGCTAATAGTATTTCCATTTCTGAGTGCATAATGCCAGGAAATTGTTGTTTCTCAAAGATTCCCTTTTTAAAACCATAGCTTAGGTGCACTCATTCTGACAAATGCATTGTTATCATATTTTGGCAACATGTATGATGTGGGCAGTTTAACTTTTGATTAATATTCCAGATGTTACTTCCTCAAGACTCACATTCTCCACCCAGCTGACCAGTGGTAAACAGTTTCACAATCAAAATAATTTGCCAAGTTGCCCTGGGCTTCCTGTGAAAGAAACTTGAATCTGAATTTCTTGACTAGTGTGTCAGAATGCCTAAAGTCAGTGGCATGCTTTCAAAATTGATAATTGATAGGAGTCCCTAACAGAATGGAATTTCACAAGTTGCAAGTCCAAAGTGTCACAAACTTTGGACAGGAAAAACAAAACTACTGACTTCCCAGTTACTAAGCTTCCAACCCTCCCCCCCATCCCCTCCCTCCCCCGCCCCTGATTTCTTTGAGTTCTATGAGGTTCTTGATACCTTGCTTCACAGGACAGCTTTTTATTTTTTTTAAATATGGAAACTCATATTATGGAAGTAGGGATGTAAGAAAAGCATCAGAAAATGCTTTGCATAGCATGACAAAGTGGTGAAGTTTTGGCAATGCAGCCTGAAAAGCCAGCTTCCATCTGGAATTGGTCATTTAATTCTTAATTCTCCTCCATTAACTCTGCTTCAGTTCCCTAAATAATCCCTTTGTAGGTCATGTTAACTCTGAGCACATAGCAGTAGACAGAAAACTTTGTTTTGCAACAGATCCTTGTATTCGTAACCGTGTGCCTGAAAGCTTTGGCAATACACAACACCTGCTTTTGTACCTTTGCTGAACTATGGGAAAGGGTAGTTTTTAAGCAAAAATATGGATTTCTTTTTTGTCTCCATTTTACTTCCAGTCTTTTTTATTCAAAGGCCTTGTTTAGAAATGGGACTTGCATTCTTGTCATGAAACGTTACTTTGGTATCTCAACCTGTATATATGTATATTTCTTAATATCTAATTTCTATATCTACATTCTGAAAAATGTGATGTTAATTCAGATAAATTTCTGTCCACCTTTCAGAAACATGCTGAAAATTATCTATTTTTGGGCTTTCCGTGATTTAATTATCTTGAGTTAAAACATGTTATTAACTAAACCGTGGTGAGTGTGTATATTGGCTATCTCCGCATGTCTTTGTGTAAGACTATAGGAATGAGGCCCAATGGTTCACTGGCTCAGGACATGATTCAAGGAAACTTCTTTCTTTAAGTCTCCGAGGAAAAAGTCTGTGGCAAAAGTCTATGAATGACAAAGTTTGGATCTGAATAATTTTTTTAGTAAAGATACAATGAGGTATGAAAGCAGAAGTAGGAAATGCTAACTTTCTGAAGTGATACGCTATGTCTTCAGGTTTAAAGCATGGTACATGTAGTTGTTGGTCTGTGTGGTGAGCATGTACAGACTATATGTACCTGTGTTCTGCAGAAGCTGGGATGTGAGGTGGTACTGCAGCATGTGTGCAGCACAACATTAGGTGTAGACAGGATATCTTCTGCTCTGCACTGTATAGAATTTGCAAAGCCAAACTCAGGAAAATTCCAAGGAAAGCTTCTTGATGAGCACACCATGAAGACGTTTGTAATAAACACCACTACACACACACTTCCCTCATCCAAAGAATATCTTGCCTGCTGGGAAGTGACCATATGTGGACATAAGATAACATGACACTTTTTGTGGGCATAAGATGATAACAGTAATTTCTTCTGACTTTCTAATTCCTTATACAACACAGTTAAATGACAAAAGTGGCTGCCTGCCATTTCCCTAACTCATGGGCTGTTGCTTTGCAGCTGCTGCTTTCCTTGTGGTGACTGTATCTCAGTGATTTTATGTTCTCAAATACTCATCAAAGATTTTTAGACTAAAACACGCAAATATGTGTGGAGTGCTTAGCACGTCTTCAGTGGCAGGTGCCACTGTACTGCAATCCTTCTAAGCATGGTGCACTTTTCCAAGTGTACTCTTAAGTACAGTACACTTTGAATTGTAAATTTCCTATGAGCTTATTTTCAAAAGAGCTGTGCTATGAACTTACATGCAAATTCTAGCTTGTAATTGAAAACACACTACAAACAGGATGTCAGTGTAATTTAGATTTTGGATGATTATCAGATAAGTTTAATCCAAAAGGGAAATGATATCTAGGTATGAAAGGAAGCACTATTAACTAGTGAGCAGGTGGACTATTCTTGATCGCCTTCCTGTACTAGGAGGGAATATACATAATTGAAAGTCCTAGCATTGTATGCATTACAGTTGAAAGCTGTTCTTGTTCCTTTCAAGGTTTTATTGATTCACAGCTGAGTGAAAACTTATAGCTGATGTTTAACCAATTAGCCTTTGGTACTTTTCTTTTCCTGGCTAAAAATTAAATAATATAGGTATAAAGATTTGTTCCAAATAAGTGTTTTATACTGTCAGTTGGTCCCAAAACCACATTTTTAACATGCAATGTTAATATAAAAAATATAGAAAAGGTACAAACATTTCGTTAGTTTGGTAAATTAAGCTTTCATTAGTGGGTAAAATGTTATATTTACCACTATGTGAATACTTCTACTGGTAGAAGGAAGGGTAAGGTCTATGAAAAACACATTTCTTTAGGAGGAAGGAGGCAGGAAGGGGGCCCTCAGTGTAATTATCCTGGATTAGCTAGCCAGCCTAGCACAGGCAAGGTCAAAACCTAAAGCTGAGTACTGCCTCTGTTCACTGAATGGTTCTTGCTTTCCTGCATGTGCTTTGACAGGTGAGAAATCCTGCTGAACTTGGGCAATGTTAAGCCATTGATTATGGCTGACAAGTTTCCCTGAGACTGCTACATAAGCATTTGTTGCAAGGCTCTGTGCTTGTTTTAGACCTAATGCAAGAGATTACACCCTGATTTCTTGTGACCCTCCAAGTACAGCAAGAACTTCCCAAACTTTATAGAGCTCTCTGAGGTGAGGTCAAGTGTAAGTCAGTGCCCTGCTGTGTGTGGTAGCTTGAATGAGAAGACCAGAAAAACTGTTTTGGAAAAAAATGAATTGTTAGTTATTTATCACCTGAGCAATGCAGCACAACTTTATGCAGGAAATGCAAATGGATTAATTATCATAGAAAACCCCTTCTGCAATGGGACAGTGGAAATCTGTTTTGCATGCCTAGCATAAGGTCCTTACCCTGTCCATTTGTATTCCCTGTGGTGGCTCAGAGCCATTCATTAATGTGTGTTTAGGAGTTAGTGAAGAGTTGGTGGTCTTGATGCCAGGCAAGACAATGTTGAGCAGAACAGAGCTGGCCTAAGTTCAGCTGCACTTGAAAAACAGGCAAGCAGTATTTGCCCAACTCAAGTTGCCAAACTGGGGCCTGGGTTTTGAAAAGTTAATTACAGGGTGTGCTGTACATAGAGGCATTTAAGAGTTGAATCAGACATAAAACAAGGAGACATTTATGTCTCTTCCCAAAGGAAATAGTGAGTAGAAAGCCTAAAGTCACTTCTCTGTCTTGGCAGGAAAAGGAGTACTTAAATTTTGAAGCTGGAATTTAGAGGGAGTGATCTTTGAAGGCCACGACATACTTTGTTACCAGCACAACATGTCTTACACTTCTTTCCCCACCCTCTTTCCCTCTGTTTCAGGCAGAGGAAGATATTTTTCTGAAGCTTATTTTTCTGTAGTTTATCAGATGACCTGAAAATGTACTCTTAAAATAGACTGCTGGTTTGCTAGTTCAGTTTCTCTGATGGGTGTCTCATCTCACCTGCTGTTTGTTGGTCAAAATTTAAAACTGGCACTTTGTAAAATAGTGGTGACTTCACAGCTTTTAAGGCACCGCAACTACATGGTGTTATAAAAGGCCTTGTTAGGCAGTGATTATTGGTGAGGTGATGGGGAAGATACACTACTAAAATATGTAATGGTATGGTAGTAACTCTCTGCTTTCCTGGATGACTGGATGATCTGTGGGTGTCCTGTGCAGTTTTCTGTACTTTTGTGATACTTAAGAGATTTCCTGCTTAATGTAATGGATAAAATGGATACATTCCTCTCTGACAGCTCAGCAGATTCTTACTGTTTTAGCAGGACCTTGGACGGGGAGCAATTTTCACCCTTTGATTTCCTCTTTACATGGCTGTAGGAAATTAAAACCATGCATCCCACTTCTTGACAGTTCCAGATATCTCTCCAGCATTGTACCTGTGCCTTCTGACTTTGTCCTAGTACTCTTAAAACACTGATATGTTTTTTCCACTCTTACAGCAGAAGGTGAAAACGATTTTGAGGGCATCGAGAGCAAGTTTTCTTTACGGACGCCTGCAGAGCCTGATGAGGATGTCTGCTATCTTGTTCCTGGGCAGGTGAACAGCCTGGCACAGTGCAACTTCAATCATACCAGTAAAACCTTTGTGGTGATCCATGGGTGGACGGTAAGATGAAATGGGAGGAATCTCCCTTTTAATCACACTTCCAATAAACTGTGCAGAAGTGTCTCACAGATATATTAATACATCTCCTATTTTAATTAAAATCACCAAAACCAACAGGTGACAGGGATGTATGAAAGTTGGGTCCCGAAGCTGGTGGATGCTCTGTACAAGAGGGAGCCTGACTCAAACGTCATTGTGGTGGACTGGCTGGTTCGAGCTCAGCAGCACTATCCAGTGTCTGCTGCATACACCAGGCTGGTGGGAAAGGATGTTGCTACATTTATTGACTGGTTGGAGGTAAGACATGGAGACTTGTCTCACATCCTATAATGTCATAGAAGACAAAACAGCAATTATGCAGCTGTGTTAATCATCTCCTGTTGGGAAGATGGAGTTACACTCTTGCAGAAAGGTTTGCTGGACTGGTAAAATTCCAGCATTGGTTTACTGACTATTTCCTACTCAGAGGCCTTTTGTACTGCATTCTTGTGGTCTTTTGTACTTTACCTTGTGGTCTGTGGGGTCCTGTGGGCCCAGAGTATTTCTGAGGGCTCTGTGAGAGATAGCTATGAAAGACAGATTCCTATATATTATTCTGCAGCCAGCCCTTGGCAATCAGAAATGTGCCGTGCCTCAGGAAATCCAGAAACTGGTGGGGAGAGAGTGGCTGAAAACTTTTACAAAATAAAAAGCCTTGTGTTCTGTACTTTATTTTGCATTCCTCTAAGCTTAGATTTTGGCCATAAATTAGTTAGATCAAGAAATCTACAATGGCACAAAATTATGATAGCTTTATAGTGTTTCTTCTATTATTTGTGGCTCAAACAAAAATCGCAGTATTAACAAAACATTTTATTTTGTGTCTTCTGATGTTTTTGTGTTTGGTTTTGAACTTTAAACAAATTGTTCTCTTCTGCAGGAGAAATTCAATTATCCTCTCAACAATCTCCACTTGCTGGGGTACAGCCTAGGTGCCCATGCTGCTGGGATTGCTGGGAACCTGACCAAAAAGAAGGTGAACAGAATTACTGGTAAGTAAACCTGTGACTGCAGAGTGAAGAGTTGCGTCTCTTTCACACTGAAATACTATGTTCCACTGAAAAATCACCAGAATAATTGTTGCTTGCCAGCAGTACTTTGGTTATGTATTCATTATTTAAGGAAACAGCAGGGCTGATGTGTCTGGGGTAGAACTGGAAAAAGATTCAGAAAATAACAACAGAGGTGGTGAGTGCCTTTAATTGCTTCTCTACAAGAAATGAGTGAATAGGCCCTGATAAAAGAGTAGTTTGGGGGGTTGTGGTGGGGACTGATCAAACCATGCCATTGAGAAGGTCACAGTATCTCTTACAGCATGAGAAATTCAGTGAGTTGTCTTTATGTAGGCAGTCATTCCTTACAGCTAATGGGAGCCATTGAAACAGAATCGGAAGTAAATTCTGCTGCAGCAGGTTTAGTATCTGCAGAACTCTTTGCCATGGGATGATGCAGATGCAAGAAGTTTATATGGGCTCAAAGGGAGACTGGACAGATAACTGTGTTGCAGTCAGCAACCTCATGATCTCATCCAGGGAAGCAGCAGGATTCTGGGGACCAGCATGAAACACCAACGAAGACAGGCTCCCGTTCATGAAACCATTTATTCAACATGGGGACAAAGTCAGGTCCAGAACAGAGACCCCTGAACAGAGGCACAGCAGGGGTTTTTGAGGGACAGAGCTCTTGAGGGTCTCCACCTTTGAGGGTGGAGTTCAGGGTCAGGGACCATTAGAAACACAGCAAGGGAGAAACCCCCTAGGGACTCAAACCCAATCAGAACCCCTGGGCCACCCTTCACAAGGGTTTGGGGTGGCACTATGTAACTCTTTGTCTCCCCTGAGGCCGCTGCCACATAACAGGAAGAGATCCAGTGTGGATTATTACAAAGTTAATCATAACAGGCTCAAGAAATATTCTAGGCTGGAAATAATACTGTGAAAATTTGGGGAAGACGTATACTTGCCCTGTTGCTCTGTCTGCTTAGATGTCTGTTTAAGGTGATTTTTGGAGCCTAAAGAAATCTGCTAGACAAGGCAGAGTGCCTGGCCACTCTGGGGCTGGTTTACAACCCAGCACCTGGAGGGCTGAGCCCCTAGCACTTTATCTCAGTGACAAAGGAATTGCCAGCATCAGCAAATGAAGCCAAGAAATTTGCTCATCTGTGATGTCTTTGTTGCTGAGAGATTGGGAGTATCATTCAGAAGGGTACCCTTTACTCTTTCACCTGAGCCTGGCTGTGATCCCAAATCCACAGGCATGCTGAGAGGTGGGCTAGGCAGTAGTCATTTCTTATTCTCCTGGAAAGATTGAGTCCTGAGAGGTGGCAGATTAAAGTCAGGAGGCCAAAGCTCTAGTCTCTCTGCCCTTTCTCTAAGTTGCATCTTTGCTGCTTTCACTGAGGCTGCCATGACATTTCACTGACATGTCAGTAGCCCTCTTTTATGCCTCTCCAGTTGCTCCTGGTGCTGTGGTGAACCTTTCCCAGGAAAAGCATAGGGAGCAATGTAATGTGGCCCCTGAAGCCCTTACAGCTGAGGGGAAGGCAGCTCAGACCAAGCGGAGCTAACTGTGGGTGAACACCACAGGTGCCTGTCCCCAGCTGAGGGCTGCAGAAAAGATGCGTCCTTTCAGCCATCTCTCAGGTAGTTGTCTGCACAGGTGATAGTTCTTGTTCCCTGGCAAAATGTTTCTCTTTTCTTTTTGATGTTAGTGTTGCTGCAGCTTGGCAGTTTACCTTAGTGATCCCCCTCCCCTTAGGTGTTTAGACAGTGAAGCCCTCATTTATGTTTCTCACTTACTCCCCTGGCACGGGGTTGTCAGCAAGACTTTTCCATACTTCAGACATTTCAGATACAAGTTCTTGACAAGAGAGGAAAACACTGAGAAAATACTTCGGAGCTTGTTTCTTTCATCCACTGGAAATGCTACAGCTCTGAGGAAGTTAGCTGGGTTTTCTTCCATGTGTTTGCATACACTTTTATTTTTTTAAAGGTGACAGCATTTCAAGCTAGTACATTTGATTCTCCTGTATCCATTGATGTTATTTAAATGATCCATCTGTAATGTCTACACGAATACTCAATATTCCACCCCAATGTGGCAGCTGAGGTTGGCATTTGTTGTCAACATCAGTATCTTTGGCAGACAATAATATCAGTTTTTCTTTGTGGTTTACTCCATAAAGGGCTGGATCCTGCTGGTCCTACCTTTGAGTATGCGGATGAACTGACCCGCCTCTCCCCGGATGATGCTGAGTTTGTGGATGTCCTACACACTTACACCAGAGGCTCTCCAGACCGCAGCATTGGGATCCAGAAGCCTGTTGGACACATTGATATTTATCCCAATGGTGGAGGTTTCCAGCCAGGTTGCAATCTGGGAGAAGCACTGCGTCTGATTGCTGAGAAAGGCTTTGGAGGTGAGATTGCTCTGAAACAAACATTCTGAGGGAAACCTGAATAGCCCTGCAAGGTGTCTTGCAAGGAAAGATCTCTGACAGGCACAGGAATATATTCTTTGAAGTGCTTTTAAAAGTCATCATGTGAAGCCCAGCTCTGCCATAGTCGATCATGCCTGTTGACAGCATTGCTTAGGGGTTTATATCATTATAGGTACATGTATATATAATTACACATATATATGAGTGTGTGTGTATACATGTGTACATATTATGCATTTTCATTCTTTCAAGATGTGGATCAGCTGGTGAAATGCTCCCATGAACGATCCATCCACCTCTTCATTGACTCTCTCCTCAATGAAGAAAAGCCCAGCATGGCCTATCGCTGTAACACAAAGGAGGCCTTTGAGAAGGGCCTGTGCCTGAGCTGCCGCAAGAACCGCTGCAACAATTTGGGTTACAAGGTCAACAGAGTGAGAACAAAGAGAAACACCAAAATGTATCTGAAAACCCGTGCTCAGATGCCCTATAAAGGTAGGCACTCCTTGCTTGCTGGTGAGCAAGACTGGTACTTGTGCTCAGCTGTGTGTCATGGTGGGCATGTGCTGCAGATAGGAATATTGCTGCTTTGGTGCCTGTGGTGAGCAGGGATGAAGGTGGCCTGTAGTTTGCCACTCATTTCAAGTCTCAGAGAAAAGTGTTGTCTTACTCAGGGTGTGGGGTAGAGTACAAAAAGAAAGGTATTTTGTAACAAGTTTCTAATTACCAAAAGTTAGGCTTCCTCTGTTGCCCAATTTGCAGTTTTTCATCCAAATGATTAATTACTTCTGCTGGGGAAATAATCACAAGAACTCAGTCTGGTGAGCACCTTATTTAAAGATATGCAAGCATCAGATTTGTGCCTTTGGTAGTGCACTTGCTAGAGGACCACTAGCCCTCATTAAAATATCACAGCACTTCTTGATTCCATTTGCTGCTGTGGGTGGTCTGAGAAGGACAATGCCAGACAGAACTGAGAGGCTTTCAGCTAGGAAAATAGCATTGGATTTTACTACTTTATTTTCCTCCTCAGCTTTGCCTGTACCCCATGGTATGCTTATAGTGTGCATTGTGTGGTGAACCAGCAATCAAACAGCACCTTCCTTCACTGTTAGAGCAGCTGCAAGACTGGTATTCTGCTGGCAGTTGGTGCTTAATCTGTAGTGTCAGTGGGTTGATTTTTTCTTTCTCTTATTACCAAGCCTCCTGTAAGAGAAGGGCACAGCTTACTTGTTTCAAGTCACGTATAGCAGGCCTTACATGTTCAGTAGCAGGTTTGAAGGTGATATTCTGAGGTTATTATAGTGCCAGCCTGAGTGCAGAATTCAGCTGCAAGAACTGCAGAGGTGTTCTTTAATGGTGATTAATTGCCTTTAATTAATTGCCTTTAATTGCCTTGCTTGGTAATATTTACGTTCTCAAAAAAATAATTCCCTGGACACCTGCAGGGAAATAAACTCATTTCAGTGAAGTTGGCATATTCCAGCCTAGGATTTTGAGAGGTGAGACAGGGTGTTTTTGTCACCAGCTGTGTCTTTGGAGGTTGAATTTTCCTAATGGCATTTTCTTTTGTATTCTTTCAGTCTTTCATTACCAAGTCAAGATCCATTTCTTTGGAAAGACTAACATGACCAAGACAAACCAGCCATTCCGGATCTCTCTCTATGGCAAGCTAGATGAAAGTGAGAACATTGCTTTCACACTGTGAGTAGCTACAGAAACAACTGCAAAGTACTGCTGAGTTTACCTAAATTTGTTAAAGTCTCAGCTGAAAAAGTTGTTCTGGCTCCAGCTACAGTGATCTTACAGGGTCCCAGAGTCTGCTCTTGTCCTTGATCAAGGAGTTGTATTCACTTCTGAAGCTAATGAACCAAACCCTACAGGAGCTCTTTTTGATAAGACATCTGAAATATGGAAACGTGAAGTCTGACCCGTGACTCAGCCTAATAAGAGTTTTCCCAGTGTTTTCTTATTTTCTTCTCAGTATTTTATATCATGTTAAATATTTAAGGTAGACTTATGCATCTGAAGATCTCAGTGCAGAAGCTGAGGGAGAACTGGGATTTGCTTTCACTGCTCTGCAAATAAGCAGAAGTTTGTGTGTACATACCTATACACAGGCAGGCAGGGAATGGAGCTCGAAAACACTAGTTTTCTGCTCTGAGGAATGTAAACTGTTCATGGGTGGTGGCTGTCTGACTTTTCTGAGAGTCACCAGCACAGGAGAGGACAACCCTTGCCTGGTACATTGTCCCAGAATTTTACCAGCCTTGTTACAGAAGGATGTTCCATTTGCCTCTACAAAAGGTAGAGCTGTTTTTTTTTCCTTGCTTCCATCAGAATTTTTTTCCTTCATCCATCAGATGTTATTTTTTTCCTTCATCCATCAGAACTAGGCAGAATTGCTTCCTTCTCCGGAATACAAAAATTACAGGTTCTATTGCTCCTAAATCTTCTTTGTCTCTCCAAGAGTTTCAGGTGGTATTTTATTTTATTTTTTTTTAAATTTGTTTCCTTATTCTCCTCCCTCTTATTCTCCTTCACAGGCCTGAAGTCTCCTCAAACAAGACCTTCTCCTTCCTGATTTACACAGAAGTAGATATTGGAGACCTGCTTATGCTGAAGCTGCAGTGGGAAAAGGACACCTTCTTCAGCTGGTCAGACTGGTGGACTCCTTTTACGTTTGACATCCAGAGAATCAGAGTGAAGTCAGGAGAAACTCAGAAAAAGTAACTTGTTTTGATTGTTATAAGCTATATTAGTTCTTGACAGTACTTCCTGATTTCTGGTATCTCACAGGCTGGGACAGTCATGTTAAGCAGTTACAAATAGGTGCAGTATAATGATAATCAGGGCTCCAGTGGTATCAAACTACCATTTAGATCAGCCAGGTTCAGTAGTTTACTTCCACTGGTATCTGCAGTTTGTAGTCTTACTTCTGCATACTTAATTTGTATCCCACGATTGTATCTACTTAAGGTTAGTTATAATACGCAGGAGAGTTATCTCCAACAACCAGCAACAGTGACTGTGTTTGCAGTTTCTGTCCTCCTTTTTCATGCTGGGTATTTGCATAGGTTTCGTCACAAAGAACATGCTTAGATGGAGATTTTTAGAAATCCTGCCAAAAATATGTTGGCACAAGAAATTATTGCTTAGTTAAGTTGGATTTTCTTAGGGGTTGAATACCTGAATGGTGGATGAAAACTGAAACACGTGACTATTGCAGGACGTTGCTAATGCATGAATGTTGAAACATCAAAGTCTGAACAGAAGTGCTTTGACATGAATCTTTTGAAATACTCATATTCACTAAACATGAGATCTGTTTGCAGAACATGGGCCCAGAACAGAGTATGTGTGTTCTATGTATAGTAAATAATAATAAGTTCTTTCTTTGAATAAACAGGTCAGTCACTTGATCAAAGAACAGTTATCAGAGCTGAACAAATATAGGCGTGGGGAAAGTACTGATAAATAGAAAAGCAAGTGCTCGTTTTCTGCAAATTGCAACCTAGCTCATTTGCAAACATTTGGGGGAGTATGGCTTTCTTCCAAGTTCATTCACCTGACAAAAAAACTCACGTAGACTGGTGTAAATAAAGATCCAAGAGATTTTGGGATAGAACTTCTGCTGTCTCAGCCACAATAATTTTTCGCAAAGGGTAAGTTAAAGTTATGGCTATGCTTTGATGCGCATGTATAATTCATTTACCAGTTTCTTTTGTTACAGAATTCTTTTTTAAAAATAACTTTCTCACAGGCCTGTGAAGTAGCAGTGCCCCACATGACAAAGTCTAAAGATTGCTTCCAAGCACCAATCTTCTTTCTAAGATTAAAAAGGGATGTTTGGCTCAGTCATGTGATTTTTCCAATATTTATTCCACAGAGTGGTGTTCTGTTCTCGAGATGGCACCTCACGTCTCAGTAAAGGAGAAGAGGCAGCAATATTTGTGAAATGCTCAGAGCAGCCCGTCAACAGGAAGAGAGGAGGGTATGAGTAATCACTATTGGTTTTAGATAATTTCCCTTTAATTGACTTGTGCACTAGTTTTCTCAAGGCTTCAGAAGCATTACAGCTCAGACTAATCAGAGGTTTGCTTGTGACCACTTTAGCAGCTTAAGAGCTGTTAGCTTGCTTCTCTGCTAACCATCCTTATGTGATTGTTAGGATATCTGAGGAATGCATGTTAGTCACTGCCTCTCCCAGTCACTCGGAGGCCAAGTATGATGGACTGTTAGAGAGACAGGGCACTAGCACAAAGAGGAAAAGCATGTCTGTCTCAAGAGTCCTTACACTTACCCTTAGCTGTAGAACATTCAAACCTCCATACTGGGTCAGCTCAGAGCTCTCCCTCCTTACTGGCCAGCAGCAGATTTGGAGGCTGGTACAGGAATGGAGCAGGCATGTGAAGGTGCTCTTCTCAGTACACTGCTTTCTGATGGCAACCATCAGGTGGGTGAATTCCTGAGATTTTCATCTCTATGGATCAGAGATTCTGTGTGTGTTTAATAGCCCTTTGTTGCACTTTAATTTATTTATTGATAATTTTCCTGACCCAGATTAGATGTGGGGACAGTCTTTGGACTTTGCCCAGTAAAGTTTGAGATAGAGAAGTGGTTATATTTATTTTAGTTCAGTTTCTGTGTGTGAATGGTCTGATGGGGACACTTCTGGACTGAGATCTAGCTCTGTATAAAAATGCACATGTGCTGGCTGTTACTCTGGGGCAATGACCTGGACTGGCCTTGAGACCTCTGTGTGTATATCCGACATAAAATCAAGCAGAAGCCAGGAGAAGCCCAAGCACGTAATTTATCTTCCTGTTAAGCAGGGAGTTTTAAGATCGTAATTCTCAAAAATAAGACAAGAGGGGAAAAAGTATCTTACATCTTCCTCACCACCTTTATATGTTATTTTTTTCTTCACAGTACCAAGAAAGCCTCAAAAGAAAATTCTGCTCATGAATCTGCTTAAGTGTCAAGAACAAAGATTTTTCACACTGGGGAGGAGAAGAGTCTGTTCATCCCTGTGGACTGGATGTTCAGAACCAAATATATAGAAATATTTATCCGCTGCTGGATTTTTGCCTGCTATTCCTAGCTATTTTAGAGACTTCTTGTAAAAAAGTCTCAGCATATGAAGTTACTAACCATAAAGATACATTATCCAAATAGTTTAAAAAAAAAAGAAACCTGAAAAACAACTTGCCAAAGTTGGGAGTGCTGAAAAGACATATGTAATTTTGCTTAATCATGGTGCCTTGTGACAAGGTTTCTTGACATCAGATCCTATATAGCAATTTTTTAATATTTATTGAAAAGAAACAAAGCCCTGTACTTGATTTTATTTTTATTGTTGTTTTTGTTTTGTTTGGTTTTGGGATATTTTTTGGTTAGTTGGTTTTTTTGTTCTTTTCAGGAGTCATTTGAAACTATAGATGGATTTTTTTTGTCTTGGCTAACTGAATTTTCAGGCAGTTCAGTGGAGAGAGTTCATAATTTTCAAGTGTGTGTTTAGCAAGTAAGTAGGTTTCCTATGTGAAAAAAAACCCCACCTTTGCTGTGTGTAATACTAGAAGGTGTCAGGACTTAATATGGGGATGAATTTTTTTAGTTTGTGGTTATGAATGTATTTAATTGGGGGTAGATGCCAGTGCTGCTTAGGAATAGGTATGATCTGTTAAGCTATATATCTATGTCGCTTCCCCTGGAATAAATAACAGCTGTAGGAGAAGGTAGCAATGCCAGTGTCTTATGCAGACATTTAATATTTTATCTGTGCTTTCAGTTATTGCAAGTGAAACTGTCTAGCCTTCAACATTGTGAAAATGGAGCTGCAGAGGAACTGAGATACCAGAAAATGCAGGAAACAGATACGTCCCCCACTCTCCACCCTCTCCCTGCTTGCTTGCGTCATGTATGCCAGAACTGTCACAGTTTCTCTGCTCTTTGACACCAAGTGTCAGTCATGCAACTGCCTAGCTGCTGTATTCAGTTTTCAGTGCAAGTGAATCCACTTGATAGCTGACAGGGATGCTCATACTTCCCTGTACTGGAATTGTGACTGCCAGTGATCCACCTCAGTTTGTTTCTTGGCTGTGGTACAGTGCTAGGAGCTGCTTAGTTTTCTGCCATGAGATGGAATTCAGCAGGAAGCAGGAGCTGAGCCAATTAAAAGCAGCCTGGTTGTGTGTTCCACAAGGAGTGCTCTGAAAAACACTCAATTTAGCCACACTGCAAGTTTAAAAAAGTAGGTATATTGAAGGCAGTCTGCTTCCCCATTTTTAAGTAACATATAATTTTCTAGTGTGCTGAAAGGTGCAATACCCTCTTTCAACTTTCTAGAGGGTAAACAAAATGCTGGGAGGTACAAGGGCTTGAAGGTAGACATTTGGAGACGTGTAATGTTAGCTATTGATGCTGGGTGTTGTCTTTTCCTGGATGTGCAAGACAGCATGGAGATGGTGATTTCTCCAGTATCATCCCATCTTAAAAGCAAAGAAAAAAAACTATGTGTTTATGTGCACAATTTGTTTCCTATTTCCAACTGTAGCTGCTAGTATATTTGGGGATAAAAGTCTTAAACAGTGCAATATGTTGGAATATTAATAACTCTGAATTTGCTCACATTTGATTTCATGTTTGATTAAACTACAGCAGAGATGTGATGAGTCACTGAGGGTGGGGTTTTGTATTGAGCCACTGCATCTGAGACCTCTAAAAATAAATACAGTGATTTATTCCCTATAGATTCCATATTTTGTTGCAATTTTCTCTTAAAAGTTCAATTCTTCAGAAGCAAAGTATCTGGACAGCTGTGCCCTTCATACAGGATCAAATACAAACACATTTAGAATTTGGATACAAAATAGTGAAGGTTCTTTTCATAAGGAAACATGATTTAGCTTTGGGTGTTATTTATTAGCTGTAAATAAGATATTTATGAGTGTAAAGGAAGTTTGTATATATTGCTAAAGTTGCTAACAGTCTCTACATTAATACAGTTGTGTAGTATTAATCATGTATATAGCTTTCAGAGATTTTTATCAACAAGCCACTTACACATTGTTTTCTATGTCGTTAATACGATTTTTTTTTTTTTTTAGAAATCTCCTCAGTTTTGTATAGAACAGAAACCTATGGTTTTAATAAAATTCTCAAACTGAATCTGAAGTCACTACTTTCCTTTTGGTGAAACCATCTGCTGTATACCTTTTAAGTGAAGGCCAGAGCCTATCTTTAAATTCTGGGCTGAAAAGATGGAGCGAGACACTAGTGAAAAAAGGCAATGTATGATTTTTCCACTGTTCTTCCCCATTTCATTTTGGGAAATGCAAAACTCATGTGTTAAGACATGAAGGAATCACTGTGTGGAAGAAAGTATCCCACATCATAAAAGAAGTAGCTTTTCACCTGCAGTTTGTGGTTTTCAAGTTTCAGGCCTTTTTAAGAACAGTCCAAGAGCTGTCCTTATTTTGAAAGGCTCATTCCCTATTCTCCTCTCTCCTTGCAGGTGTCAGAACTATGCTTCTGTTCCACATTTTACCAAAACAGAGATGTTCTGACCCTGTGGGTGCAGGAGGAAAGCACCAGTCCCTTACCACCACTATTGCTTAAGGAAGTAACCGTGAAAAAACGATTTCAACCATTTGTTATGAGTGCAGCTAAGCTCAAGAATGGTTGTCACCAGAACAGTTTGCTCCATCACACACAGCAAGGCTCCACACAGGCAATAGAGGGGGATTGCTGGAATTAAGGACAATTGTGGGATCATATTCGAGGTAATTAATTATAGCAGTTCTCAGTTGACCTGGGAAACTCTGCCTCCAGAAATCTTCCTTGGTGAAAGATGACTGCTCTTTGACAAGAGCAGCTTCATTCCTTGTAAAAGCAGAGGGAAGCTGTGCTATGGAAAATGGATGGTTGAAGAGGATGAAGGTGTGGGAAGGGAAGGTGCGGGAAGGGAAGGTGCGGGAAGGGAAGGTGCGGGAAGGGAAGGGAAGGGAAGGTGCGGGAAGGGAAGGTGCGGGAAGGGAAGGTGCGGGGAGG